TTGAAAGCAGCCAGGAGACTACTTTTGTCAACACAGGTCTTTGCAATAGAACGTCCACAACTTTGGGGGCTGGATTTTATTTGCTATGCATTTCTGTAAGTGCCAACCACAGCTGAGCCAAGACAAGCACTGAAGCTCCCAAAACAGCAGCAATACAAGTGTTATGTTTGAGATAGCTCAGTTATGTCCAAAGGAGCAGATGTACACAGAGACACCTTGCTGGCTCCAACTCTGCTTTCCCACCCAGGCTGCCAAGGTTTCAGGAGAGGTAACAACAAAGCATTAACAGCTTTTAATTGGAAAAACATAGTGTTAGATATGGCCAAGAGTTGAAAGGCTGCTGTATGCTGAGATGAACTTGGTGAACAATATTAGGATTACAGAGGAAAACATGTTATTTTGTAAAATAAGGAGTGAGGGGAATGTTATGGCATAAAATAACCAATCTCTGGAACCATTTCAGGTCTGTTTTCTCCCCTTACTTGGACAAAGACCAAATACAGATCCTTCCTAAGGAGCTTTATTTCTATGTGGAACAGATCTCAACCTCTCCATTAGTTCCTTATAGTGAAGAGGATTAAAATGTTCCACACCTTCATACCTAAAATATATTAGAAAGAATGGGTTAGCACAGCTCACTACACCAGGCAAGCAGTCCCACATGCATCAAGAAAATTTGTGCAAGAAATAACACTCATAGAACCATAGAACTATTCAGGTTGGAAAAGACCCTTGGGATTAATGAGTCCAACCATCATCCCTGCTCTACAAAGTTCTCCCCTAAACCATCTCCACCAACACCACATCCAAGTGACCCTTAAACACATCCAGGGATGGTGACTCAACCACCTCCCTGGGCAGCCTATTCCAGTGTCTAACCACCCCTCCTGTGAAAAAATTTTTCCTCATGTCCAGTCTAAACCTGCCCTGTTGCAGCTTGAAGCCCTTCCCTCTTGTGCTGTCGCTAATTACCTGTGAGAAGAGACCAGCACCAACCTCTCTACAATGACCTTTCAGGTAGTTGTAGAGACTGATGACATCTCCCCTCAGCCTCCTCTTTCTCAAACTAAACATTCCCAGCTCCTTCAAGCATTCTTCGTAAGACTGATTCTCTAGGCCCTTCATCAGCTTCATTGCCCTTCTCTGTACTCGCTCCAGCACCTCAATATCTCTCTTAAATTGAGGTGCCCAGAACTGGACACAATACTCCCAGGTGTGGATTCCTGAACTCCCCTGAATCTCCCACAATCCACCCACCCTCAGTTTAAAGATTTGTCCTTCGCTTGCCCTCTTCCACCCCAAACATTGCAGTTATAATATTCAGCTCATCAGAGTCCAGCTCTGTGACTGGCATCTCATCTGAACAGCAAGAGATGAACACTAAAGAATCAAAAGCACGAGAAAAAATAATGGAAAGATGAGGTTCCAAAATGATACATTTATTACAACTAAACAGAGGACACAAGCTCCAATTAACTTAAAAAAAATTATACTGCATTATGGCAAACACAGGAACAGTGTGCTCAGAGCACAAACAAATCACTTTCAACTTAACTTTGTAATAGGGGCTGAAAATGGGATACATACAAAGAACAGAATATGGTATTATCCTTTTAATTAAATATACCAAATAACTTGATATAAACGATTTAAAAATATTTAAATATATGAAGTAGCTAAAGTTTAAATTATTAGCAAGGTACGTAGATACAAAGTTACAAGTGTTTTGGAGTTGTATAAAAGATGTAATTTTTCCCCCAAACAAAGCCTACATTAAGTGGAATATCCTGCCAAGAGAATATCCTCTACCTGCATGCAGTCCTACTGACAACCTACCTATTAAATTCGCTTTCTGGTTCTTAACTTGCAGGCAGATTTACTCTCACAGCATGCAAAATCAGCAATGAAAATCTCAGTGAAACCACCTTTTGAACTAACATGAAATGGAAACAAATTTTTCAATAGTCCCTATAATCTGCTTGTTTTAAAGGAAAAATAAATCATACCCTACTTTACTCCCTGTTGCTAAATTAATTTTTTTTAAAAAAAGCTTTTTATATGTTTTACACTTTTCCCCCTGAATAGTTTATAATAAAAATCTGATCTTACTTGAATCTGAAGCAACCAGCAATGGTCTTACCTATTAACCAAACTCTGAGCTTAGAGGCTTTGCCTGTGTAAGTCATGAGGTCACCGAAATCTCACGCAGCTTTTAAATATTTAAAGAAATATTTTACATCTTCTGATTAAATATTAATTCAGTAATAAGTTCTGACCAGTTACTATACACTCCATATACTCCAAAGTTATTCTTTCTCTGAAAGTACTGCAGCTTCTGGGTTTTTAGTCAACACAAAAGACAACAAAGAATGTTATCTGAAGCTAGTCCTCACGCCATCAGTTTGCTGGAGTTGTCTGTACCTCCTGGACAGAGCTGCTCAGGAAGGTTCACAACTGGGACAGTGGGAGCCACCAAGGGCATCTTAACCTTTTTAAGGTTGCAGAACATGTGCTGTTCAAGCCCAGCTGGCATGGGTTTGCCTACTTTCACCATCAGAAGGAAAACGCTTCACTGTGATTGATTATGACATCCTTCAAATGCTTTAGGTAACAGGGGGAAACTGACATTTGTAATTGACATTCAAATGTATTTCACGTAACATGTTAAAATTTCACAGTACATCCAATTTCAAATAAGTCCCAAAGCTAAACATGTTCAATAAACATATTATATTAATCAGAACATTCTTCATTTAAAAAAAAAAACGAAAGAATCTGACTATTTTTGGCTCCCTTCTTATTTAATCCACAGAAAATTTAATGAAGAGTAAACACCAAAAAAAGAACAGCAGCAAAGTTTCTTAAACTCCCAAATACTAAAATCTGATCATTTACTATAAGGATAGTTAAAGCCCTGTAAAACTTGAATCAAGAAATCTTTGAAAACAGCTTTTTCTGCTCCTTCCCTGTAGCAGACAATCCTTAGGTTTTTGATATTCCATGAAAGGTCACAGTCCATTTTGAGAGTGTCCTTATCATGTCTCAGGAATGTCAAGTAAGATTACTGTATGCTGTTTTCAAACTGAAGATATGCACCTGGAAAATTTAGTGTACTTCAAAGCCCATTCGTTCTAGTTACAATTTTTACAAAGTAAAATTAGTTTAAAAACTGCTTTTTCATGAAATTGGTTTTAGTCTAGTCTTGGCCTAAAAAAGCATCTAGTTAAGTCCTATCTTCAAAATCTGCAAACTGGCTTTCATGCTGAAATCTCCAAGTTAATCTCAATTTACAAGGAAGAGAATACTGCCCTTCTTTACGGGCACACTAACTGCAAAGATCATACTGACGTGAAATTCCAGCTTTGTTACAGCAATTTTACACTTCAGATACAATTACAGTAATTCTCAGGAGGTTTTCTGCAAACTGTACAGAATAAGAACTCAATACTTGAACTAAACACTGACCCTTTTTCTAGAATTAATTGTACTGTACATCCTGTTTAGGAAACAACTAAATACAATGGTCCATCATGCAAGCCGTGAGACTGTCAAAACATTTTTTGTTCCACTAACTTCAAATGAGTTTTTACAAATAATTTAGCCAATCTAAATAAATACTGAACACAGAGTTAAGCTGAAATACACCTGGGAGTGAACATTTTCTATCAAAATATGCAACTATGACTAAAAGCAGTAAGTACTAACTGCCCACCTCAATATCACTGTGTACAGCACCACTGTAAGATGTGCTCTCTATAGTGTACACAAGATCAAGGATGCTCTTATGTTTTATAATACTGGGTGCAAAATTAAAAATTTAAAAAACCAAACAAACCAACCCATAACCCTGCTGATTCAAGCCCTACTATGTGCATTTCATAACAGATTTTAAGAAAGAGTGGAAAATGTAGGCTACCAGGAATTATGGAACATGCCAGAGCTGGTATTTTAAACAAAAAAATTGACTAAGGACAGACATTTATGAGTAAACCTTGACCTACTGTCAGCATTTAATCACACAGTTAAAGACAGTAACTATAACCAATGAATTAAAAAGCCAATTATGGAATCAGAGCACTGGCAATAGGAGACATGACTTGCTGATTGCACAGTAAGCAAGGCCATGAGATGAAAGTATTTATGTACTTTGACTATACCTGGTTAGTGATTTTATACCTGAGATGAAAACTGAGAGGTAAGAGAACTAGTGATGGTGTAAATAATTATCAGATGAAAACAAACATGCAAAGATAACTGTTTTTTAAAAAAGATCACAACTGACATTTTCCCCTTATGAATATTTTCATTTTGCTATTCAGACAAACACTTTAACTCACTTTGCCATGTGACAGATTGTGTTCTGAAACTATTTTAAAGGCTCCTGTGATTCCAATGCTTTAGTACTCATGGAATTTTGAGTAGAAGCAAATATCCTCTACTTCCTAGTCTTAAGAAATTTAAGGCACCCATTAAGAAGCAAACTTCACGGGAAGTTTCCATTCTAGGGAAAAATAAGTCTGATTTTCCCTTCAACAACAACAACAACAACAACAAAGTAATAATTATGAGTTTGTGTAAGTGATTAGAATGCCACATTCTCTGTCAGTGAGGCAACAGCTTTGTGATGCCTAGTTTAAGTAAAAGTCAGTCTAAAGAGCTACTACTGAAGCCACAGTCTTCACTAACAGGTTACAAAATATGTAATGTTGCAATGGAAGGGAAAGTTTGTATTAAGTTCTGCAAAAGCTAAAAGTTGGAAGCAGAGCAAGGCTGAGCTCCATGTAATGAGGAAAGGAAATAAATGAGAACCAGTTTTCCATTATAGATACACTTAATTTATACATCAAACTTGCAAGTTTAATGGATCACTGTACCACAACAATGAGTGCAAATACATGATTTTGTGGGCAGAAGCACTGCTAAAGAAGCATATTCTGTTTTCCTCTCTATGGAATGACAGTAAATCACTTAATTGATGAATGGAAATTTCATTCCATATGTCAGAAAACATATCTACAATTTATTACTAGAATCAGCTCAAAATACTTTCCATAATCACAAAAGCTTTAATAATATGTAGCTATCAGACACAGAAAGATATACAAGGTTTTGGTTACAATTGGGATCAGCTTCAGATTCTGAAGCTTAATTCTTTGCTTCCACAGCTTCTTTATCATGTTTCTCCTTTGCTTTCTCTTTTTCTTCCAGTTTTTCTTCTTTTTGAAGCAGTGCCATAATCTCAGCAACTTGGCTGGTGCCTATATCAATATCTTCTTTGTCAATCAATTCTACTACCTACATGAACATGAAATTAAATTGAGAGAGCATTTAATTTTTACATAAATGAGGCATTTTCAGAAATTTCATCAAGTCAAAATAAGTAAGCAGTTCTCCTATGTTCAAGAAAAACAGTATTTTTTCCTACACGAAACACAAATTCAAACCACCACCAGTGCCTCAAACATATCAGAATTAAGAAAAAAGCAACCTATGACAGAGCAAATCATGCAGAACTTTTGACTCAGCACAAAGAGTCGCATTTTAAACCCTTAGTAAACTAGACCTGTTTATTACATCTGTCCCAGTGGAAAGCTCAGATTCATTATCTGCTTAATACTTAAGACAAAACTTATCATAGAATCATAGAATGGTTTGGGTGGGAAGTGACCTAGTTCCAATTCCCCCACATGGGCAGGAACACCTCCCACTAGACCAGGTTGCTCTGAGCTCCATCTAACCTGGCCTTGAACACTTCCAGGGAGGGGGCATCCAAAACTTCCCTGAGCAACCTGTGCCAGTGCCTCACCACCCTCACAGAAAAGAATTTCTTCCTGCTATCCCCAAGAGAACTTGTTCTTTCTAGTCAGCTACTTCGGAAGCTGCATTTGTGAAAAGAAATAGTTTTAAACCCAGTTTGTTAGCAAATACAAACTCTTTCCTGCTCTAATGGCAGCTTGCTGTGGTTTTCCAGACCTTGCTGCATCTTGGGAAAAGTCTATTTTACAGCATAATGAAATAGTGTGTAACAGCAGCACAGCCCTTTGTAACTACTTGTAGCACAGCCTCCACTAACAACGTTTGCAGCTATGTCTTAGTGCTGGGACATTTTTCCACTGCAGTGTAATTAATTTGTAATCACATCCCACAGCACCACTTGCCAATGCCAGAGCAGGACTTCTCTGTGTGGCTTTTATTTCATAGGCTTAATTTTATCAACAAGACCTGATGATAATACTGTGCTAAACAGGCATAAATTTACAAAAACTTACAAGCAGAGGGGGGAGGAACTTCTAAAAGCACAATGAAAAAATAATTTAGCAGGCACTTCCAATTCCCTTTACATGGCTTTTTGAGCAAATGTATTCTTGGCTTATCTCCTCAAGTTCCTAGAATTATTCTGCATTATATGCAGAATTCAGAAGTGCACAATGGCTGTTCAGAGCAACAGGGAAGAAAATCACCACTGGGACAGCTTCAGTAGGGAGGAGAATTGTGTTTCAAAAGGCTGATCCTGCATTTTGTAGCTGGCCACAGTGTCCTGTCTTTCAATGATACTTCTGTATCGAGTAGGAGAATTACTTGCAAGGAACTAAGTTTCAGAACAGCTCTAAACTTACCAAGTAAAAAAAAACAACAACCTAAGAATATTTTGCCACCTGAGACAACAGGGCAAAGCAGGCAAAGAACACAAGTAATTTACAACAGACCTAAAGAACAGCTGATGGTCTAATGTCTTTCAAGCATAGGAAATACAGGTATCAATAACATTATCTAAGGTATACAAGGTGGCAATAAAAGCTATTATTTTGTGTTGACATAAAGTGTATCTAGAAACATTATGTCAGACTTTAGGTGAATAATAGTATTCTTAAAATAGTTCTTCTAAAGCTCCTTCCCATCCTTAAGTAGCACAACAAAATTGCCATACTTTACAGAACTTGACATATGCATACAGGAAAACCTACAGCTTTAAAGGTAACATGGGTAACAGGCACAGGATAAAGATTATTTTTTTTCCCTCCCCAAAAAGTAGTCATACAAATTCTGAAGGTCCTAATACATATTATAGTATTTATTTACAATACATTACCAAAAACTCTCACTAACATCAAGTAAAGACTCTTACAGACAACAGCAATATGAATTTAAGTCAAAGCAGGTTCAAAATTTGAAGGATGGCCAACCTTATTTTCTTTAAGCAGTCCACAGGCTTACCTTAACAACATTGTCTATATCAATTTTGCCATCCTTGTTTTCATCTAGTGCCTCTGCAATCCTAGTTAGCTTCTCCTCTGGAATCTTCTGAATTTGTTTCATCGCATTAATTAGCTCAGTAATACTGATGAGATTCTCCCTGAAGAGGAAGCACAATCTGTACATGGCAAGCAGTTACTCCAAAGGAGTAAAGTTGACACAAAGCAGTACTGAGAGCCATTACACTACAGGTCATTTCTAAAAACATTATTTAGAACCCTGAACAGAATGCAAAATAAGAGTTACTGATCAGCAAGCAGGTTTCAAATCTTTATCTTACCACTGAATCTCACACTTGCACACTTTTGGTTTCCACATGCTTCACTGAACAAATACAGGTATCCACTGGCATTTGAAAAAAAGTTTAGCACAGTTTCTGTGCTTCTCAGACTGTGTGTGTAATGTGCTTAGTCCCCCTCTCACTCCCATTTTCCAAAGATGCAGTGCCACCCACCTCTCCCCCATTTAGATTTAGAGAGGCAGCCCTGCCAAAATTAGCAGAAGTCACAGGAAAACAAAAGATGAGAACTAATCACTTTAGCAATTTAGTTGTTTGTTAAAATAAGCTTCATTTGCTCATATCACGAAACAGACTTTGTGGAAGAAAGGACTAAACTTGACATGATGACCAGCATATTTCAGTTGTCTCCACTGTCTGCTTACTTATCTCACCAAGGTAACATTCTTCTGCAACCTAAAGTCCCTGCTTGCCTGTGTCATTTTGCTAGCTTGAAGAACCTTCTTCCAGCAAAGGTCAAGTTGTAAAGTAGGAGGAATGTGAACCCAATAAATATTAAACAGAAGGGCTTTATCACTACAGTCCCAGCTCCATACCTGTCCCTAACCTCTGGGCACAGACTGAATTAATTCAAGGAGGATTTCTTGAGCTGCCACTTAATGTCCTGAACTTCTGTTGCTTCTATTACTCTTGATGGCTTGGTAATGACTACTCCAACTTGAAGGTTAAAATAACATGCCTTTGACAATTAAGCAATATTTAAACTAGTAATTTTCAGCCATCCATAATTACCTACAAAATTATCCACAAAATCATCCATTACATAAAGTATAATTACATTCAGTACAAGCAGACTCTATATCCTATTTTTAATTTACAAATTCTGATGGGTTTGATCAACAGCTTCTCTATAGCACCGTTAATATGGTCTTTATCATATTACACAAAATTTCAAACAAATGACCATTTGCCTTGGGGACTGAAAAAAATAAAGTCAGGAAGCAACAAAAGCAGAACCCTTATTTCTGTTTGGGTTATGCTCTGTGGGAGCTGGGAAGGTCTCTTAATGAACCACACAAACTGGTGCAAGCACAAACTAGATTAATAAAGCATTCATCATCACACACTGTGAGAATTACAGCCACAGTTTTTAGGTGTTTGAGTGCCTGTAACATGCAACATATGACCACTGGCCTGAAAGTCTATCCAGTAAAATTAAGACCCAGAGAAGTGTTGATTAAATTACTTTGCATTGAAACTATCACAAAAGAGCTCTTTGAAAATCTGCAAGTGTGTTAAAATTGAAATGAATCAAATTTTCAGAAAGAAAATTATCTCCTTACTTTCATTAGACCTGTTCCCACATTTCTCTCCAGAGACAGAACAGACTTTACTGCAATTTTTTTTCCTCACTGCACTACTGATGAACAAGCATGAATATGCTTACACTACCGCTGCAAACCTTTCAGTCAATGACACAGGGCAAACTACTGCTTGAGGAGCACGACTGAAGACATAAATTCACCTGCAGCACTGTTAGCACCAGAGGCAGGAACCAGGTGGCAAGATATTAATGGACACTTTGACTTTCAGAACCCCTCAAGACTGGGGGAACTATACCTGCTTTTTTCCTTCCTCAGTTCAACCATATTTAACATACCTTAGAAGAAAGCAAATCTACAGCACAAATTTGTTAAATAAGTTGTCTTAACGCTTTAATTTGCAAATTCTTCTCTGATCACACATCAGACAAAAGCAAGACTGAAGAAGAACAGTCAGACACACATTTAGTGCTCTCAAGTCACTTACCCAGCAGGAGGACTATCACCACCATCCAGTTTTACATCCACTTTTTTTTGGTTTGTCTCTAATTCATTAATAATTTTGTCTATCTGACCAATCATTCGGTTCACCCTCTTGGTCAATCGCTTGCTTGCTTTTGACTCTTCCACTACCTCTTTCTCGCCAGTTTTAGAGAGCTCTTTTATCTCTTGCAAATCCTAAAAGAAATAGTGAAGAGAGAGAAGTTTTGTCAGTGTGAATTCCCAACAACAGACACTACTGACTTAGAGCAGCACTTCATGACAGGAGCCTTTTGTAAATGAAATGCAAATGTAGAGACATATAAAGCCAAACTGGAATTAGAAGAATAAATTCTAACACTGCTGCCATTTTCATGCACCTCCTAAATGGTATTTTCTACATCTTTCATAAGACTGACTAACATTAATTTTACTTAACTTCAACTACTTATAATAATGACATCTCTGCAGCACACAGCAGTTTGCAGCTGTTTCTAGCCACCCTGGGAATAAGAACAGAACAGGCTTCTCATTTGGTAGGAAGTACTCTGATGATTCTAACTAGGCTTTAAACATGTTACACAAATGAGGGTCTGTATAAAAGAGCATAAAGCTCATTTACTCAGCTACCAAACAGGCTAACAGAAATTCAAGTAAAATAATCTTTAACTTTGTGGATAATTTCTGTTAAAACTAAACACAAACAGAAATAAAATTTAAAAAACCCCAAAACGTCCATGCCCCATTCTTCACCTCATTATACTCCTGGATATCACCCTTCAATTCCTCAAGCTCCTCTTTTTCCTTTGTTAGTGATTTTTTCTGTTCCTGCAGTTTGGTGCAAGCATCATTCAGCATGTCAATCTCCTCCTTAGTGATTTCCTCGCCCTGTAACAGAAAATACATACAAATTAGTGAAAGACAGATTTGTGATTTTTCTCCAAGATTTTGGATTAATGTAGAAATGTACATTATGAGGATAGTAATGATATCTTAAATGCTAACTGCATTACTTTGCTATGGTACCTATTTTTCAAGTGCACCAGTAATAAGTTGGGCTAATGTGATTAGTTTTCTGGGTTTTGGCTATTTGAAATTTTCTCTCATTTAAGAATGTTTTACTTCCTTTGCTGGGTGAAAAATCAAAGTAACTGAGAAATTATTCACTACATATAGGAAACATACATTATATTAAAAAAATTTGCAGAGTAAAGTTCAAGAAGCTGAGCTGGAGCAGTTATCTTCAACAACCTTTGCAAGAATAAGAATGAAAATCCATAGTTTGTGAGGTGTAATTCTCTCATGAAAAGCTGAGACCAAACTTTAACCCCCAGCTTAAAAAACAAGACTTCCAAGATGATTCATTAAAAATGCTAAAATCCCCTAATACTAACTACAGTTAGCATATTGATCTTACCTAGACACCAACTTTTCTTTTGAATGGCTAAACTCTAAATAGCCACGTGAGTATAGAAAGACGTGCAAACAAGGATACCAGAAACACAGAGTAGAATGACTTCATGCTTCCAAGAAACAACTACAGAAAAGTTCACAAACCAGGCATTCAGCCCCTCTGAGAACTATTAGTATCAACCTCACTTCTGCTTTCAATACAGTATAGATAGTACACCTTACAAAAAAAAAAAAAGCACAATTTGGCTTGAAAACAAATACCTCTGCCTCAAATAAAAACAGCTGACTTCAAGAAGCATGTTCTGATCACAACAAAGCATGCTAATCCCAGAAATTAACCTGTCACATTAACAGTGGTATAAACTGTGTTCAACATCATCCTGAAAAAATAATGAAAGAGTACACTACAAAGTTTTCACAGTACATATACACTGCCCACATCAGTTTAGGAGAGGAAGTTGATACAAATCTAGTAGTCTAGTCCAAACCTGATCCTTAATCCTGTGATTTTAGAGCTACACCCTTCAAAAGAAAGAACACTCCTCCCTACCTACTCTTGCCCTCTTCGTATTCGTGTGTTAACTATACACAGATTAAACATGCACAGATCCATTGACAGTTACAGCCAGTGCAAATGCCCCCCAGAGTAGGTATGTTAGTATCCATAATACAGGCAGATAAAGGAGATATTCAACAGATGTTTTGTGCTGATGTCAGTACTTGTATTGGTTGTTAAGAATTTGCAATCTACGAATTAGCTGCTTTTCACTGACAGAATGTGGCAAGAGGGTTAAAACTGAAGGACATCCAGGCAACTTATCATGGCTCTTGCATGGATGTTCTGAATCTTTGCATTGAAAAGTGCAAAAACATACATTTATCCAGATTACCTTAATGCCTTCCAATACTGGTGCTGTATCTTTCAGTGTTTCCGAGTTCATGGCCATTTCTGCCCTTGCCAGGTCTTGTTCAGTATCCACAGCCATCTGACTTTTTTTAACTTGCAGAGCAGGTGCTTCAAGATCTACTGCTGATTCCACCTCTTTCTAAATTTGAAAGACCCATGGAGTTTTAATTAAAACAAAGATAACAACGTCTGTATTAGCATCTCAAAACAGGAATAACTGCCAAAGTAGATGTAGACATTTTTATGAGAAGACACAAAAAACCTGCAACACACTGAGTGGTTTCACATAAAAATATCCTGTTAAACTTAATGATCTATGCCTGTGAGCAACTGAGACCTAATTCACCAGTAAAGCAGGCCAGCAGCTTTTACAGTTAAATAATATGCAAGGACATTATCAGGTTAATGACAAATAGAAAGAGTCAATGATAAGAACAATTATGTTTAAAGTATGGAGGAGGGATCAACAAACAAACAAAACCACCACCTTTGTTAGAAGAACAAGAGGCTTTTTTTATTACTCTATTTAAGAAGAAACAGAAATCAAAGATACACCAGACTGCAACAATCCTTTATGTTTCACAGTGAACCATCCTGTGTTGCAGTCAGTTTTTAATATTCTCCCACATCTTCCTTATGTGGATTTAAAGCCCAGTTTCTTGAAGGCAACATCCAGAACAGAAGCAGTAACTCATAACATGCTAGTTTTTACACCACTGACATTTATTTCTCAATAGTCAAGAGCAGAACTTACCACAGCTGCAACTTGAAGGGTTTCTTTGGCTTTATCTGCAGCTTCAGATACTCTTTCCATCGCCTTTTCTTCGTTTTCTTTTCTGATGGCCTCCTCCTCCTGAAGTGTTGCTTCCAGTCGTGCTTTGTTATCTACTTTTTCACCCTCAACTTCTGCCACTTTGACCTGAGCCTCTTTGGCCTAAAAATTACATAAGTAGTTCATTAGAGTATATATATGCGTATATATATATATGCATGTCTACATAACATATAAATGTATATATCCTTATTGATCTAGGTAGCACAGGCATGCTAATGCATAGTTAAAACCCTCCAGAGTCACCCTGCTTTTGCTTTGCTCAGAAAAAGATTTCTCATTTGCAAAGAAAGAGCGCCTTTTCCACTCTGAAATCGTATTTGTTCTTCTTTCTCTCAAGACCAATAACACATTCAGATCATTTCTCTCTCTACACAACAGCCTCAACATTTTCATATCACCATGTCTTTATGTTGCCTGAAATGGAAACTGTTTATGTAACTAAAAGATTTATTCTCACTCTTCTTATGCTTCTACTGTCTGCCCTCATGCAATGAAAAAATGCCTTTAATTTGCTTTATTCATAGATTCCTCCACAAATAAGCTAACTAACTCTGTATTTGAGGGTCACTCAAACTTATCCATAGTTTAGCATTTCAAGGAAAAGACAGGAACCAAGAAGAACATCTACTTCTCTAAATAGATTTTTCCATGATGATGCTGGAAGTTAGTTACAGACTATACCATGTACTATATTTACATCAATACTTACAACACTCTCTGGTAGTGTCTGAAGTGTTGTTTTGAGCTGATCAGCTGGAGAAAGGGTATCTGGAAGATACATGGCTCTGGATAAAATAAGCAACGATGTAGGAATTTCCTGGTTCAGGTGCAGATCTAGCCACTGTAAACAAAATCCATAAAACAAATCTTCAATTTTTGGATATTTTTTTTTTACTGATCAAGTCAAGCATACACAAAAATGTACATAATATTTTTTTTTTTTACCACTACTTACCAGCCAATATCCTAGTATAGGAACTACAGCAGCAGCAGTTCTATGCAGCAAAGAATTATAGCAATTGTATTGAAAAAAAATTTGTATTTTTTTAACAAGTAGTTCAAGAAGTATTAAATTAATATTTGAGTAAGTGTTTAGTGTCACATGTATCTTCCTCAAACCAGACAATGCCAATAGATCAGGAACTGATCCACTTAGAGAAACGTTCTTTACAGAATAATACAAATAACTAACAAGATAAACGGCCAAAACTGCAAACATATTTTGGATATGTTTAAGTCTAATTATCTATTTGCATAACCAAACACTACAGCCCAGTCAAAAACCAGAAGCCCACCTCTACTACATAGTTACACAGGACACACGACAAAAGCATATTAAGGGGAAAGACTTTTAGCCAAGCTTTTAATGAGAACAGATGTAAAACGACTTCTCAGAATTGTAACAAAAATCCGAGCTACTAATTGAAGTCACATCTGTGTATTCAGTCCTGCAAAGACACACCTGTTTGAGCTGTTCCTTAAGACGTTCCTCTGTCACACCAAGAGCTCTCATACCTCGAGCACGACAAGCTGCCTGCAGTTCTTTAACAGTCAGGCTATCAACTCCTTCTTCAGCAATCATCTGCACAAAGCAAAAAATAAACTTTAACACGCTCGAAACGGAAATCCACAACAAACGCAGACCCAGAAGTCTGTATTTTTACAAAGGCCACTAGAGGCTGCTGTGGTAACACACAATAGCGTCCACTTGTCAAACTGAACATTACACTGTATGTAGCCTTAACAGCTGCACAATGACAACGTTAGACTGTCTATGCTAATATTTCTATCAGTTCCCTTAGAAACTATAGTTTAATAGAAATGCTTTTCTTTCTAACGTAGCTACTTCAATTGCAATTGATGGTAGATTTATAAAGGTCAGCTTTTTCTCTAAAAAGAACACTTAAGATTTTGAGCTCTTCAAGCCTTTTTGTTCTAAGTTAGCTCAAAAATAAGACAAAAAAGGAAAATGCTTAGAAAGACACATACACATATTTATTGCTCTGACATGTTAAAATTATTAACCAGTGTCTACTCAAGAATGACTTACTTTGTCATCCGCTTTTATGCTTCTCAACCTCATAGTTAGCTGGAAGCGGAGAAAGTTATTTGTCCCAATTGACTGAAGTTCCAACAATTTACAAAGTGCCACCAACTGTGGCCTAGTTAGATTGTCCAGAGTCAATTCATCTTCAAACAGTTTAGAGAACCTTAAGATCTCCTCATTACTGGGTCTTTCGCCCGTTTCCCTGATCTGCAAGAAAAAACAAACACACAAAGCTCTTCAAAGCACATATTAGGGTTGGGCATTATTATTTTGAACTACAAAAATATTCTCCTCATTTGATAGTAGGAAATAGGACACAAGGAAGACATGAAATAATTTTTTTTAAAAATTATTTACTATAAAAGGCAAAAGAATTGATGGCTTTGATAGTTGCCAAGAACACTGCACAACATACTTAAAACTAACAAGAACAAAAATGAGATGCATCTGTATACTAATGAGTAGGTCCATCTGAGTTGGCACTGCTTATTAGTGATGTTACTGAATCCAAAATCTACAGAACTTAACAATGAAGTAATTCCAGTCACTTAACACCTTCTGTCTAAATAGTATGTAGATATCCAGAACACACTCTTCCTAACCCATCTACCTTTTTTAAGCCCTATAAAGAAGATACAAGCTAAGTAGGATCAAGTACAGTCTGACAATCTAACATTACCTGTAGAAATTGATTATACCTACATGTTTTACTTGCCAACTCAAATCTTTTAGTGAACACCTACTGAGTACAGGAAAAGCTGGAAATTTGGAAGACAAGACAGTATTGAGTCCATTAACCTCCAGAATACTTGCGTAGTTGAGAAACTAACTCAGAGAAAGAAAGGTCAATGGCCTTGGTGTTCCACTTCACCATGTCCTTCACTACAGAAGCCAAAAATGGAACTTGAAAAACACAAAAAGTATTTTTTTCCTTGTTTAAAGCTGAATTATAGCAGAGCCAAATGTAAGTTTCTTTAGAGTAGAAACTCAAACTTCCTAGTAAATCACTATATACAAAGCAACACAGAGAAAATCTGGAATTTGGCAGCAAGCATTAAGCCTTAATCAATGGTTCTTTCAACATCAAATACTTTGCTGCAGAAGTAGCTATAGAATAGCAAAAAGGTTGGAAAACTTTAACCTTCTTGCTCTGACATTTACTATCTAGTACAGTGAAGTGAGATCAGTGAAGTCTGTCTCCATGGCATAAATGAGAAATTTATAGCTGTTAGAAGCACACCCACACATACAAAATGCAGGACTTGAAACTTCTTTTTAGTCATCAGAGGAGCGTGGGACTTCCTTCAGCAAATGTGGAGTGATACATTGTTTATTTCCACAGAAATGAACCATCAAATGTCAATACCCAGTGGCAATTCTTTGAGAGAAAATTAAATGTTCCAAACATGAAGCATGGCAGTGGCATGCTCCCAGAGTCTGCAGCATAGGTGCTTCAGCTACTAACTGCTAGAACTTACCATTTAACATTTTCTGCAGATGAAAAAACAGACAGAGATGATTGCTTCAAAGTACATGGACTTTGCAAGCAGGTAGCAGCTGGCAAGACTCCCAATTGCATTATCTGAAGTAACCAACTCAGCACTATCAACATGATCTTATTACCCCACCTTTTACAACTTTATTCTCTGCACTGAGGAGCAGAAAGACCTCAGCTAGCTGACAGGACTCGTGAAGTTATTGAGGTCTGGAATCCCCAGGCTTATTTTTCTGTGCAAATATGTACTCTCCTCAAAGGAAGAGACTACACTGACTTTGAACAGCAAATGACAGTTCTCAGCACGATTTCTTATTCAACAGTCCTACAATCAGAGTAACTAGAATAAATCCTATCCTGAGAAAATTAAAGAAGGTATTTTTAAATTCTCCAGAGAATACCTGACCCTTACCAACAACTTGGTGGAGGACAACACTGTCAAACCTAAAGGCATCACTGAAGGAGGCAGATTTCTGACATTTAGGCTCTGTGTCAGCAACTGCTTGTGAATAGAACAATTTTGTACCAAACACAGCACTCACCTTCTAGCAAAACTGCAGATTATGCCACATTCTAGTCAGTATCCAAAAGGATTTCAGCAGTATAACAGCCATGCATTTAAAAACTGTTTTTATCAGCAGAATTAAATTTAACAAAAACATTTTACTTTTCCCCCACTAAGTGTTCATCAGTTAATTAGGAAAGAACTTCTCTCTCACTTTTTAAGCCCAGGGTTCAAAAAAGAAGTCAAAAGCTACACAAGTAATCACTGAGTGCATACTCTTTTTTATGTTAGAATTAAATTAACAAAATAAGAGAACAAAAAGTGACTGCACAGAAATATACTGCTCCTAGAATCAGAGACTGAAAGTACCAGCTAGAATACCAAAGCTAGAACCAGTAAAACTTCAGCACACTGAAGTACTACTTGCAAAAAGAAATCTATCCTAAAAAACCCTATTACATCACGCTCCTTCAAATCCAACAGAATAAAGACATCAGATGATTGCACAGACCAAACAAAACACCAAGCTTTTTTTTAGTAGGAAGAGAAAATACATTTTTTTTTAATTTTACCTTTTGAAAGAATGCTGAAAAATCTTTAGTAACATTTCCCTTGGCTGCTTTATTTTTTAAGGCCATCTCCTCAATTGTGTCTTGAAGGAATTTAGCCAGTTCAAGCTTTACTCTCAATTCTTTCTTCAATCTTTCCTCCTGTTAAAAAAATGGCATGGTTTAAAAGTCCTTTCAAGAAATATGTGCACTAAATACCACTTCTTCTGCCCTTAGACAAGTTACATCAAGTAATTCTGAAGTTCTCCTGTAGCACAGACATAATACACAGATCCCCAAACTGCACATAAAAATAGGCTGATCAGCACACAGCTCCATAAAGCAGGAGATGTAATGTCAGAGCGAAGTGCAGCATGAGTGGCCTCACCTGCTAAAACTAACATGCACCCTCTGAATTATTAACACAATAGGAACTGACTAACCTTGTTTCAGGTATTTCCCAACTCTTGTATCCAGCATAAAAATCCTACACTGCATTTCATCCAAACAAAGAGGAATTTATCACAGAACTATGAATTAACCGTAACTTAGATCCAAGTATACAATCGTGACTGTATCTGTGACTGACTGGGAGCTCACCATGTACAAAACTCATGTAAATATTTTTGTGCTCTGAAAGTGAAAATTTTTGGGGCTTTTTGGTTTGCTTTTACAAAGGTCTAAACAAAATCCAGGAAAATTAACTAAGTAATAAAGTTCAAAAGAAAAAAAAAAGGTATTAGGGGGTATGTAAAATAGTTCATATATCTACCAAAAACCCTACATCAAGAATAAGGACTACAAATGTTAAAACAAAGCCTAAACATTGTAATAGAAATCACAGCGTTACAGAGCTTTGATTTTTGCTTTGTAAGGGTCATAGAAAGAGGGATAAGGATAGCAAAAAACCCAACAAGCTTACAGCCCTGAGAGCTGAGCACTTGCAGATATAAAAAAGTAACAGGGTGGCATTGTTTCATTATTGCATGTTAAGAGCAAGATCATCAAAACCACATAAAGAAAGGAAAAAACACCTCCCAAAGACCAAAGAAAAATTCTGATTTTTAGAATTTTTCTACATTCTTTCTTTACCAAAGTTCTGTTTTTTTCAAGACAGATTACTGGATTACAAATTCAGACCTGCTTACCTTTTTAGACTTTGTCTCAAATGTAGACGGAAGCATATTAGGGAACAACTTCAGAGCTACTGGAAGCAAAAATTCCATAAATGGGACAACAAGAAAAACTAGGAAAGGGACCAAGCGGAAGAGATCAGCACATATTCGAAGAAACTGGAAAAAACAAACACAATCACAAATGTATGTTTTAAATAAATATATAAATTTTTGCTTATAAATACTTGATCATTCAAGTTATCACTTAGGCTTATGTATATTACTTCTTACTTCTACAAAGGAAATTTAAAATAAGACCAGAAAAGAATATGACAATGTCGTTTTTTAGTATCTTTTTCTTCGAGTTGCTATATCCTACATAGTGCCAGAGTTTCACCACTTTTCAACACTATAGAAAGTATTTCAAAAGCCTCACTGTGTCTCAATAGGATTATTGAACAAGTATCTCATTTAAACCTCTTAAAAGCACCTGAAAACAGGAGGTGGTCATTTGTTGTTGTTAAAGCTGCTTAACTTCTTTTATTCATCTTTATTTGTGCTCTCACCACTTCTTGCATGCATGAGCGACTGTGGACTAAGTAATCAAGAATAAAATGGGGGATCCCTCCCCCTCTGCCTTATAACAATTGTAATGTACATTTAAATCCAGAATAATAAGCCCAGCTTGGTAGATTCTTTTTTTTTTTTTTTAATCACTGCTTTTCTAGAGCAGTAATCCTCCAAAGCAGGCTGATTAATTAGTTACCAATTTTTGAATTGCATAAAATATTGACCTTCTGATTTCTGTTTACCTACAAATGTATATATTTGGGCTGTATGGTCTGTAATCAAATCATTCAGTACACGTTCAAAGTTTAATAGCTTTGTTTATATTGGGGATTGCAGATCTTGCTTGACTCTTCCTCATTTTACAAAGCAAATAATCATTTATTTGGAATATTGTAATTTCTTAAATCAGAGACTGAAGGTCAACACAACTGCCACAGCACTGTCATTCAACATCATTATTTGATAAACGCTGCTATGATTGGCAAAAACCAGACAACATAAATGCTATTACAGAAGTAAATCCTCGTCCACCCTCACCCCACAGCTCATGCCAATCCAGGGGAACAGCAGCTACCACAACCAGTATAGACTGCACGACACTAGGACCACTTTGCTAGGACACAGAATTAGTAAAACTTCAACTATCATTCTTAGCATAAAAACATCCAAATCTTAAATACTGTTTGAAGAATGCACAAATTCCACAGATTCAAAGTTTGACAGTTTTCTTTGTATAGGAAAAATTTAGTTTCCCAGAAGGGATGCTTTGGTCCATTGTTACAGCCCCTAAGATGTTTCCATTCATTCCAACAATAGAAGATAAATGACTACCAGGGAGTTCAAAGAGATGTAAGAATGTTTGGAATATTTTTTTTCCCTTAAAAAAAACATCCCTCGAATTTATACAGACAGTAGTACTGAATTTTTATGTCTACCTAGTATCTATTTTTAGACATTGAGTGCAAGTATTTGTAGAGGCAAAAATGCATATGTGTAAGGAAGCAGTTTTATAACCAGATTAAGCTACCCTAATGCAATGTATAAAGAGTTACAAGCATGCACCAGCCCTGACAATGAGAAGGTTCACCACTGATCCAGCTAAAACTAATCAGCGTAAACCAAATGAGAAGGGTGAAGCGGGGGGGATGTTGGAAAACTTGATTGAAGCACCAAGGAGGACTGGTCTTTTTCTCAGCAGCACTGTCCTGGCTCAGCTTACATAAAGCATGGTACTGCACCCTTCGTTCACTCAAGGAAAACAGCTTTGCACAGGAACCTCATACAATGGTGCATGATTACACACACATTATTTGGCAGCACAGCACGAGAAACTTGTGACTACTGTATCTGCTGCTACAGCTCATGTATTCCAATTTTCCCTCCTCCGCAGGGCTGAAGAGTTTGTAAAGCTGACATACCTGCTACAAATGCTCTAACGTTTGCCATCTCACCTTCATGTCCTGAACAGTTCTGCTGTAGGAAGCAGCAAGTATTTTTTAACAGTCGGTATCACATTTTGCATGTCCTGCTTCTCCTAAGCCTAGGTATGTGATCCTGTTGAATCCAAACCCTACCAGCAATTGTACAAGCAGAATTTTGGAACTGCCTTTTGGTTTACATAAGCAGTAGATCCTTTGCATTAGCCATTCTGCAATCGCTTGTTAATGTGGTTAGATTACTTGGGTATCTTTCCGTTATTGCCTCCAAAGAGGAAGGAAAGGGCAGGCAGAAATAAGTCATTTGTCACTCTGTGTGAAGATAAGATTTCTCTAGAACGGTCAGTTCATAAGTAGTTTAATAAATTCAAAGCAGTTTGTACTTAATTAATTTTTTTTTTAAGTTCAGAAGCAACTTTTTCTAAGTTGTAGCTAATCTGGCATCACAGTTTTAAGACTTCTTTAAGTCATCGTACTACAGTTTAAAGCTGAACTGACAAAAAATGAACTGTGCTGAAATAAAATTAAAGTTCAAAAAAAGCACACATAAAGGGTTTTGTCCAGCTGCAGGCTGGTTTGCTTTCCACTGACCCTGGGTTCGAAGCCTATTGTGAGGCCACTCAAGAGATAGGAATCTTCTGTGTCCATATAAAAAAACAACTCATAAAGCCTAGATTGAAAGTAACATTGTTGCAGTTCTTAAAACTATTTTCTCTGTATCTTCTACACTGGATTGCACACATACAGACACAAACATATCATTAGATAACAGACAGGCTACAGCAACATAAACACCAATTTATACCTGCCCAATAAATTACTATTTTATATGGGAATTGATGCTGAAATTGCAATTCTGCGCAGAAAAAAAATAATCAGGCAGGTCAAACGCCAAACCGCTACCTAAATACTAGAAAGACACTCTGTCATCACTACATGACAAAACTGAAGGAAAATCAAATTAATAAATTCATCTACTGATGGAGTAATGCATAGGTGTCCAGAGATAACATATTACTTCTAAAGGTTCCTGCCTTCTAGAATACAGTCCTGATCTTTCAGCAGAAATATTTCCATTATATCCATATTTTACTGTTGTTCTTATAATGTCTCAGATGTATGGCTCAGGGAGCTTGAAGCAGGCAGGAAAATCAATGGTTCCAATCTTGACATCTGGAGCATTTCTGATTCTGATTTAAACCATGAATGAATTTGTCTCACTTGGTTTTCCCGGTTTCCCAAAGCTCTCACAGCACAAGCCAGAACTGCTACTTCAAGAAGTGCTGCCGTCCTCATCCCCCTCGTCCTCAGTTACTCTTTCTTGGCACCACATAATCCCTCTCTTATGTCAGCACAGACAGTTATATTTATTGCTGAGCAACGTTTCAGCCGGATCAGCTGCCAACCATACTCTTGTACCAGCACAAAGAAGAGGGCAAAAATAAGAAGTAGCAAAGAAATGCTGGGACCAAATATCAACAATTCGTGCTTTCATAGAAAGAAACCAAACATAATCACAGCTTAAAACTGCTACATGTGCATTTAACAATTTTTTATTTACCTAACTTTGCAAACCTAGTCACGTACTGCATCGTGATGCTATTTAATTACACATGAAAATGTTCAACTCCATACCTAATTTGACCAGGAAACTATTAAAACAAAGAGCAACTTTTCATATTTTTGATCATTCAACAGAATTCTTGAAGTTAGATGTGAGCCCAACACATTGCAGGTACAGTGTACATACTGCAGAGTACTGGGCAGCAGTTGCAGTCAGCACCACTCACTCCTGCTCCCACAGCACATATGCTGGCCAATACTTCTTCCACCACTTTTTTTTTTTTTGAGGCAGGAAGACAGAATTCAATGTTTTATCTGTATAAACTGCTTAAATATCTTGTGCATCAAAAAAAGTAAAATGAGAACTATCAAAACAGCATGTTTGATGGATTGGTTATGAATTGGTGAAGCTGATTATACATTTCTTTAAAGAAAAAGTCAAACCATACCAGTTTTAAAACAAACTGAAATTGCTATTGTAATGCATGTACGTCATCCTAGTTTGATAATAGTGTCATTTTGCACTCCAGATTTCATCTCAACACATCTTTTTTTTTTAAAAAAAAATTATCAGTTGTATTTTTCCAGTTTGAAAAATGTAAGCTACATGCCATTAAGAAAAGCAAAAAAAGAAAACTTTCCTCAAATTATCTTCTTTGGACAAAAATTATCTCACAAATATATTTACACTTGAGATAGTTCTAAAAGCCAGAGCCCACAACAGAATTGGCACAAATCCAACCTTTACTAGAAATGTTTCCCTCTGTTTTTCCAGCTGGAGCGAAAAAGCACAGAAAGTGACCATGTACACACACACAGCACCTGGATGGGAATTTGAGAACAACCACAACTGCTGCCCACATGACAAAACAGTAGAATTCCCTACTGTGCCAACTGGAAAATACTAATTTCATCATCAATAATGAGGAACAAGAAAAATGTTTTGGAGTCATAGCCAAAATTTTTAGTGTCCATCCAGGGCGGAAGAGGGAAATACACCTAGCAATCTTAATTCTAGGAACCAAAGACAACAGAAAGAACCAACGCAGTTCAGACAAAATGGAGCAATTGCTAAGGATACTCAAATTGGTATTTACTCAGTACCTGTCTCCGTTCTCGACGAGACAAAGTGTTTCCATGAAGGATTCGCCAGAGCATCCTTGCAGCTATTTTTGTGTCAATCCACAGTAATCTAAAACCATGGTAGTAATGCTTCAGTTCATCCACAATCCTCTCTCCAAGAGATTTTTTCACAACTTCCACTTCTGTTGGGCTATACACAGGACCTCCTTCTTCTAATTTCTTGTTTTTGTCCTTTAAGGACTTCAGTGACTTTTCAACTATGGAGTCGTCTTGAAGGGGACGTGAAGAGTGCCACCATCTAACTGGAAGATACTGAGGACCTAAAACACCCATGGTTGCTAGTGGTGTCCATGAGCCAGAAAAGCGTGTAAGAGTAAAATAGATTTGTTCAGACCCTTTAGTCCAACAACAGTAGCGGCCTTTTTTGGAGTATGCATAAACAGGAGGGACACTAGTGCAATATTTAAAGTGGACAGCCCTGCAAAAGAAAAAAAAAAATCCAAAAATTAGCAACAGATCAGAAGCTATTTATACGTATTTGTATAGTCATACGTATTTGTGTACTTATCAAATGTATCACTTGATGATCACAAATGTATTCACCACATTTAAGAAGAAAAAATAACAACAAACTTGTGACTCTCAAGACCTATGTCCACACCTGAAAAGAATGCCTGGCTTTACCTCATAACCAAAAACCAAATAAAACCTGCAGGGTATTTTTCATTAAACAACTTTGAAACGGTAGCTTCTTTCACTCCAATTCAATAAAGAGCAGCAATCAGGAGTTCTCTCCATTGAGGAAGTTACATTTGAAAAGAAATCTGTAAATCCACAAGCAGCATAAAGTCCCTCCTATTACTTCTGTTTGAACAAAACACTCGAGAAAAAAAATAGGTTGTAGACTTGGGACAGGTGCTGAATTAGAGGAAGAGAATTAGTATCAGAGAAATGCATTTTCATTAGAGTTCCTCTTTTACTATCTCCACATATCTAGTTTTCCTTTTTCAGCAGAAATTTTTGCATGAACTTCCACCATGCTACTGAGTTGGGGCACACAGCACCAACTCTCTTCTACGTTATTCAGAATTTTGTTATTTTCTTTAATTAAATGTAAACTGAATGAAAGCACTGCTCCAAAACACAGAACTACCCATTATACACACAAAACTACTCATTATATGCAAGTAGGATTGTACACACTTTTATAAAAGAGTATGACAAACTTAAAATAGTAGATGAAATATTTTATATGAAAGAGTTCCATTAGATGTTCCTCAAACTCAAATGCCAGCATTAAGTCACCTACAGAATAAAAATGACTGGGGTGTTTCTTCACCAAACCCTTTTACTACCAAAACAAAATCAGAAAGTGTTTGTCTTCAGTGAATGAACAGAAAATAGGTGCAAGTGCCTCAACATCTCAGAGTAACACTTTAAGGAAAAAAAATAATTGAACACTTACAAGTACTGGCCTAATTCACTCCCTTTTCAACTAAAGTACTTTTCAAACTTAATGCATCCAATTAATTTTATATTACTTTAATGGTTTTATCTATTTAATGTTATTAAAATAGAGCTTTGTGCAAAAAAAAATTACTATTTTTTAAAGACACATTATTTTCTTACTGAAATTAAATTTTAAGCATGTGAACACACAATGGTCAGATGACTGCTGAAACATACACAGCTACACAAAATATTTTCTTGATTATACATATTGAAAAGCAGATTAAAACACTTGCATAAATCAGTCCATCCTGACTCTAAGTAATTTCCCAAAAGCAAGAGCTCTAGGCCTACAGACCAAGTTTCACCTAGATACATCTATCTACCTTTTTCTGCATGCAGAGAGGAAAGGAGCTCTGCCAGCACAACTGGTTCTGAGTCTGCAGGGAAAAAAAAATTCACATGTGCCTCTCTGAACACATTTCCACTAGCAGGATGTCAGGCAGAAAACTTCTGTACCAGGCCTTCCCCAGTACTTGTACCATTAGAGGCCCTTGCTTTCAGGTCTGAGTCATGCAGGGTATGGAGTACTAGTTTATTTTATTTTAAACAGCAACATTTCATTGACAGCAGCTTTTGGTAAAAACAAAACCTCACACTTATTTAAAGAGTAACAACAACTTCTCAGAAGAACAAAAATCATTTTGTCCCAATATTCTACTGCTGACTTAAAATCAAAAGTTTCCAGTTTTCCAAGAGAGAGACCCCAGATAAAAATCTAATTAGAAGAAAACAGATTTGAAAATGTTTTATGTATTAACATTTAAAAAACATGTTTTATGTATCAGAAAACCTCTCATAACTAATTATTCAGTGATATACAAGTAACATGAGTAAAAATGTAAATACTTTGTTTCATATTAGAGGATTATGTCTAGAGATACATCCTTATGTTCAAATGAAAACTTAGGAAATGGAAGAACAAGTCACTGTTTCCTGAGCAGATAGACTGTAAATAAACTAGAGGATACAGATTTTAGCATTCCAAGGAAAGGCGGTAGGAAATTTATATCCACAAGTATGACTTGTCAGCCAAGTCAGGAAGAGAACAGATTCTGCCAACACCCAACTCCTAAGTACTGTAAGAGGGCACAGTGGCTGGATTCCTACTCAAAAGAGGACACCAACTCCTAAGAAAACCTCACCCAAGCCTGTAACATACAGTAAACTACTTTGCTTTAATAAAGATACAACTTAAATTACCTGCATTTACAACTGTCAACTATGGCTTTCAAACTAGCTGTGACTGAATGTTTACTTTGTGGAACTCGACACAGAAAGTATGCAAGAAGCCTATGATATCACCTGCAATCTAATAAGATTAATATTCTACTCTTTCACATCCTAAGTGAAACAAAAAAGGGAAGTAGGTGAAAAAAGGAAGATCTCACTCTCTTTCTCCCACACACAACCAAGCAGGTGAAGAGAGTAATACTCAGACTGCCTTTAATCTGTCAGTAACACAAGGTGAAGCTAGTATTTTCACACTTTGTTTAGAAGATTCAACCTACATTATGTGATAGTATGCTGATGATTTTGTACGGTTTTGAGTTTAGAAGAAAGCTCATGTTTACTCACATTTTGTTTGCCAGCCTCAGGGATGTACAGCTAAGACATGCCCGATCTCCCAAGTTTCCTAGAAAAATGCCAATAATTAGCATTAATTCAGACATTTTGGAAAACATTTATCCACACAGTGAACTGTACAGAAATACATTCTTTAAAAGACTAATCTTTACTTAGGAATGGCTACCAGTGAAAGCACAAAAAAAGATGCTGCTTAACAGTGACTTCCTTACGGCGCACTGCTTGTGAGCACATTCACGCTTTGGATGATTGTGCATCACAAACAGCCAAAACTGTTTTGTTTTTTTTTGCTCTGACAATAACCATGTGAAGTACTGGAGCCCAAATACCTCATCCAATTTTATCCAAATTTATTGGATAAAAAAGAAAAAAACAGGTGGGAAGCAATTCAGTAGCTCAGCTGACATCTCCATAAGCATCCAAGCAAAGTGTTTGTGCAAGCACAAACTGTGGACACGTGAGGGACTGTTTGCACTTGTTCAGCTGCCTGAAGACAGGCTTCCAAGACCCTCAGACAAGGAACTATAATGCAGAAAAACTTCAAAGAAAGCAAATGTGATTTTTTAATGGCTTCATGACAACACAGATCCAAACGGAGCACTTGCCAAGTGTCTAGGATGAAAATGTTTGTTTTGTTTTAAGCAGAACAACAAATTAAATGTGAGCAAGAACCTAAACACAACTCACTAGAGAGTTGGAACCACAATACCATGTCAATACACTGCTGTCCATTTTGATTAGCACCTGGTAAAAATAGCTCTACCCCTGGGTCCCTCTGCAAAGGATACAAATTGTCTTGAAGGGGAAGAGGCTGATTCAAAGAATATGAAGGGCCAGCTTTCCAGCAAATGCCATGTTCCTCAAAATGAATTTTATTTGAAATACTAACTCAGAATCAGTCCTAATAATAACTAATAAAGTCCACAGGGAGGACTTACACCTACATATAGGCATTCTCTATCCAGGTACGGAGACAAGTAGCAATAAATTGAAGAAGCAATAAACCAGAAATAAATTGAGGAGAACACCAAATGATAAATTATCTAAGTCTGTTCACATGCTTCAATAAAGGGCCATGCTTGAAAGCCTTCCAACCATCCAACACCATGGAAGCACCATGGGCTACACAAAATGCTACCTAGTGGTTGTATGAAAACTACAGTCACTGAAAATCACCCCTGAGCCCACTAGAAAAGAATCCATCTGCCCTGAGAAATTAAAAAATAATAATCTTGTATCGATCCCTAGCTGCAGTAACTCAATAACTAGCCAATATCAAGTGCAAAAAGATTCCTAAACAGAACAAATTAAGAGCACATGAGCAAGACTCTAAATGACTTGATTCTTTTTTGCCAATCTTTTCAAAATTCCCTGTAATAACTACCTACCTAACTAACTAATTAAATAAGGCTGGATGGAGGTAGGCACACGATGGTTTGTTTCTCCTACCTGGAACCTATTTCTGGTCAATCTTAAGAGAAAGGATAGAAAAGTAATGTTAGAGGTTAGAGGTCAACCTTTCCATCTCCAATGCCAAGACATAGCCTATGAGAGAACACATTAAGCTGTATCTTAGAAAACACAGCACTCAGTGCTGATCACCAAAAGCAATCTCCAACAAAATATCCTAATTATTAGAGGTAACGTGATACCTCCAAAATCAGGCAGGGCAATCTGAAGTTATGGAATCAGGGAGGAGGGGGAAAAAAAATGTTAATTTACAAAAGAAAAATCTCAATAATCAATGGATTAGCAGTCCCATGCTAAGTGGGCTTTGCTGTCATAACAATAAAGGTTTGGCATTCTCAAAGGAAAAGGATTTACCCATCTCAGGTTGCATCGAACTCTTAACAGGTACTCACTGCCACTGCAAGTAAAGTCAGGGAAAAAACTGTTTCTGGCTCAAAAATCAATCCCTGAAAATCTCTGAAGGCATTGTGACACTCTCCAATATTTACAGAAAGATCAGTAGCTGAACTGCTTGACCCAAGAGTTTAGCCATCGCAGAAGGATGTCCCTGACTTTAAGGAACAGCAGAACAAAGCAGAGAAGTGTGCACAGCCTTGAGAAATGATACGTCACAGCACACTAACCCATTTCTCTCACCTGAGTGCCAGGAAGCACACAAAGCCTATGTGCCAAAACTGAGAGTCATACTACTAGAGGACATCACCTGCTACGGACAGGTGCCTCTAGAACAAAGAGGGATGATCTGGACATCAAAACTGGCTTGGAGTTTCTTAGATAAAATTCACAGCAGTAATACACTTTCACTTTGCTTATCTTCATTATTTTTTTTTCCCAACCAGCCTCATTAAGGCTAAGGAAGGGACCAAAGAACAAAATTCCAAGGCTACTGTAAAAAAACACACACACCCAAACACTTCTTGTTGTACAGCCATTCAGTGTGAACAGGCACACAGAAATGCCATTTCACCGAAAGATTCTGTAAAATGACTGTTGATTTCAACTCTGTCAGCTCTGACAAGAGCGCTTCACATTTTGCTGTGTCTGTTCTAACCATGTACTTAAGTACAAGCCAACCTTGAAATAAAATATATACTCTTCATCAGAAAGGAGCAAAGTCCATGCTCCTTCTGTCTAGGAAAATACATGCAAAAGTGTCTGGACAAGGTCATTGTAGAGTACCATACTCAACACTTCATTTCAAGTGTTGAGCTTTTACAGAATCTGCACTAGGATTACTTGGTTTGGAAGCAAGAAAGGCAAAAAGTGCCAGAAAAGTTGTATGTTTACAGATACCTCATGGAACAGAAGTAATGAGAAACTTCATTTTTACATTTAATGAAACATCAAAGCAGAAGTTTTAAATGCAGAATAACTGTGTACTGTTTTATGCCTTTTTAAAAAAAAAAGGCTAACATGAATAAGTCCATAAGCCTACAGTACTTAACAGCTTGATCTTTACAGGAAGAACATTTAGGATTCTTAGAAGCACTTAGCTTTAATTTAATCTTAGCTTACTTACATGTGAAGCAAAGAAGATGAGCTAAGTAAAGCAAAACACTGTACAAAAAAATGGCACTGCAGAATAACATGTTAATAATAGATTAACACCCCAGTTGAAAGCATTATTATACCATAAGCATGGTGTATCACAGCACACATAATTTGTCCCTATTGCAGTATTTCATCAAGTGAGATGAAATCATTCATGTAGGGTGAGATTTATAACAAATGACAAAAATTTATGACAAAAATGTAGTGATCATCAGCATTTCTTCTTATGCTATGCCACAAGAAAAATCAAAGCTCACATCTAATTTGAAGGTACATGGATGTGTTTCATCCCTGTTTTAACAAACTCGACGGCTACAATACTCCAGCTTCTTGTTCAGGTCGCTGTGCAAGCTCAGCCTAATTAAATGTCTTTACAACCACAGCAAAAATAGAAATTCCCATCAACAAGAAACTATTACACTGGTTTATCAAAATGAACAAACATCCATATGTTTGTTAATGAGGTTTGCTAGAATCTGAATGTGCAGATACCGTTTCTCACTGAGAGCCCTTCAGCAGTAAGTCAGGGCTCAATGTCAGTGACAATCCACTGCCTGTTAAGCTTTCACTGACTCCTCGCTAAACCCCTGCCATTCCAACTCACGGACATAAAAAGCATCTACAGGCCTCATGCACGTCACAAGTTATCAGCTGTTTCATGTCATTAAACTTCACCGCCCAAAGGTATTTTAACTGCCAAATTATCTTTATTATTAATGGAAACAGTGTCACACACTGCATTTCCCTTCAGTTTCCCTAAAATTTCAAAGCTACCTGAGAAAAGGCAAATTCACTTTTCCTTCCTAATATAAACTAAGAAAGTAACCTCGTGTCTTTTCTGAAGGGATACTGAAAAGCATGTAACTAGTGCGAAAGGACCCTGCAGCCACGCTACACTGACCGCAAGGCAGGCGGGGCTGAAACCTAGTAACGTGCTCCTGCACCTCAATAACAAGCACTTTATTATTTTTGCTCCCTCAGCCAGCCGGCACTGCAGAGATGCACGCGTGCTGTCCTGCGGGGAAAGCAGCCCCTTCAGCCATCCCGGCAGGGAGGAAAACGCGGAAAGCCGAGCTGCCCACCCAGGCCACAGCGGGCAGGGAACGCGGGCACCGCGCCCGAGCCGACAGCGGCGCACCCTGAGAAAAAGGCGGGCAGGACGCGGCGCCGTC